AGGAGCAAGCTACCGCCCACGGCTTCACTCCTTGAAACTTGGCGTCAGCTGGCATCTCACGGTAAGCGGGTGCTGGACGCGGCCTCCACACTGCTGTGTGTTGTTGCCACGCTTTTTTCACAACCACCANTTAGAATTGTCTACTCTGTGTACTCCCTGAGATGAAGCTGGATCCCCACTTCATCTCAGACCTTTGCTGATCGTCTCTCAGCAGTAACAAGCAACTTTCCCATCTCAACGTGGTCGTGGACAAAAGTGTCAACGACAGAACCTTCATCTATCTCTAGGAGCAAGCTACCGCCCACGGCATCACTCCTTGAAACCTCTCACTTTCGTGCCAGCCAAAACAATGTCGGTGGCATCTGGATTTCGCGCAAGCCAAACGAATGCGTGGTACTTCCGGATTTGGCGCCAGGCACACTTGAGCCAGTGAGGTTTGGTTTTTGCGCCAAACGAACCTCCGTGACCTTTAGATGTCGCGCCCAAAGNTTTTTCACAACCACCAGGTTGCTTGTTATTTGGTCTCACCACGCACGAGAATCTAGACTTAGCCTCTTCTTTGCTTCCTCTCCTGTAGAGATGCTGGCTTGTGATGCTTTCGCGAAGCGCCCGCGGGACTGGAACCTTGTATTGGATACGCGCCTCGGCGGCCATCGCGATGTTCTGAGTGATTTTTGTACGTTCACCGTCCCTCGAAAGCTATTTTGTCTGCATCGGCGGTCCTTGAAGTGATTTCTGTAGCGGATACCCTCTGCATGGAGCGTCCTGAGTTGCTGGCTTTGTGTAGTGGACCCGAGATGACAGCATGCTTCCCACGTCTGCTACCACCTCTACTGCATTCATGCCGGCGTACCGGCCGATGTCCGCGGATTTTCCTGTTGTGCTCTCCGATTTGTCTCCGCTTACATCGACTTGGAACGCGTTGTGTGCACACAAATTGGGTGCCAGTCGCCCCACCAGCCTTCCCTCCATTTTTCGAAATCACATGGCACTTTTTTTCGGGGAATCGTTCACCCTCAAAGCACTTGAATTGGAAACCTTTCAACAGCGCAAACCCACAGCGGTCTTTGCTCGCACTTCGGCACCAGTTGCGGAGGAACGCCGTGCTGCTCTGCGTGTCTTTAAACCTCGTGTCTCCATGTAACACGGACCCTTTTGTGCTAGCTTCTACTGCTGTTTGTGCGTGGCATGGTGTGCTTTTGGAGGCTTTTTCTGCTTGGGTGGACCCGCTTCACCCTCGTGTGCACCAAGCTTTAATCACTGGGCGTATGCTATCCTGTCGATATCTCCGCCTTTCGCATGGACCTCGGCTTGCTTTTCCCGAAGTTGCACCCAACTTTACTACTTCTGCTGCTCTTGGTGCTGCTGCCTCAACTGCGGTTGGTTATCCTACATCTGCTGTTCGTGGCCCTGCTGCCCTGTCCACAATCAATCGTAGCTACCCTCTCTCTGGCCCTGTTCTTGTTAACAAAGAGGACACCATGTCCAGCGGCAATGTGGAACTCCTGGGCGACAATGTGGAAATTCTGGATTACGAACCCGAGGGCGAGGCTCCCACCGCAGAGCGGTTTCCACCGGCCGGTGCGGGAGACGAGAGCCCCCCCATGCCCATTGCGTTCACCGTCGATAATTTGCTGGACAACATCGCCACGGCAGATCCGGCGGAACTGGAGCGGGCCTACAACACCGGACGTGTCTCTCTGGAAGATATTGTAGAAGCGGCCCATGTGTCGTCCGATTCCCCTCGTTTTGTTCTTCCTTTCTCGCTCCCGCCGGAAGACAAATTAATCCTCTTGCCCCACGACGAGTTTATGGCGTAACAAAGGTTGAACGAGATGTGGTGCGACGGTCTTGCCGGGAGGATAGCAGAGGCGGAGGCGCCAGAGCAGGCGAAGCGCGAGGACTCGAAGCGCTTGGCGGAACGTGAGGCTGCTCTGGCTGCTGCGGCGAGGAAGCAGGAGGAGGAACGTGAGGCTGCCCTGACTGCTGCGGCGAGGAAGCAGGAGGAGGAGCGTGCGGCTGTTCTGGCNACAAAGGTTGAACGAGATGTGGTGCGACGGTCTTGCCGGGAGGATAGCAGAGGCGGAGGCGCCAGAGCAGGCGAAGCGCGAGGACTCGAAGCGCTTGGCGGAACGTGAGGCTGCTCTGGCTGCTGCGGCGAGGAAGCAGGAGGAGGAACGTGAGGCTGCCCTGACTGCTGCGGCGAGGAAGCAGGAGGAGGAGCGTGCGGCTGTTCTGGCGGAGCGTAAGGCGTATCTCCATGCGGCTAGGGCGAAGCACGGGGCGCTCCGATCGCGGCTGGAGGAGCTGGAGCCCCGCCACCAGGACCCGCGAGCAGCCCCCTACCCCCGTCGTCGTGTCATCGTTCCCCCCCCCCACGCAATCCCCCCGGTGTTTGCCATCGGGGTTGGGTTTTCGTCGCTTGGCAAC